ACCAATGGAAAGTGGTCTGTCCCATATCCTTTCAAGTAGCTATTTTATCCCCAATTATTCCAATTCAACTAGGTCAGTCTCCTTAAAAGTATTCCTTTAACAGAGCTATTCTATATAGGTTTTTATACCACACTCATCACTGTAGTATCTCATCATCTTCCAGAATGAACCCAAATTCCCATGGCAATACACCCTTTTTTCATAGTAATAAGTTCCCATACAAGTCTCTGGACTTTGCTGTGTTACAGCGGAGCTGTTCAAGATTGCTCCAGTCAGCATTATTTGGGCTGTTAGTGGGAGTTATCCGCAGCTGTTTCTTATTTCATCCCTCTGGCTCCACTCTTTATCTTGTCCTTGGGGTGTATGCCTTTGCTTTAGGGTCGTCAATCTGCCATCCGGGTGAAAGTTGTGCTTCTCAGCTCCTCCACTTCCTTCTTGACCATCTGGCCCAGCTGTCCTTTTTCAGTTAATTACCATACATTTTTTACTCACACCAAACAGTAAATAAGGCAATTACAGCCATAAAACTTCTATCCTTTTAAGAACAATTATTAACACAATCAATAAAGAATAAACTCAGAACAATTTCTTCTTTCTAATTCAAGGCTACAATTTCTTCTTACTAATTCAAAACTAGCAAAATGGAGTATAAAGCAAAATAAGCAAAACGGAGTACAATTTTTCTTGAGACAATTTCTTCCCATTAGGCTTTTGCTTACACATTAACCAAGGTGACTGTGGCATTATCTGATTAAAATATGACCATGCAAATCATTGTTGCTACCACTGTTATATAATTGCAATGAAGCTTAAACAAAGTGTGATGCATAACTAGAAAGGGTTAAGCATCTGCAGGATAAATGACCCAGAGTCAACCTTTAGAGACATGTTAGAAAAGTATATGAATGGTAATTAGGGCCAGTCCATGTTAGATAGGCTAGAACTCTGAAGTTCAAACCTGTATTGTTAGAGAATTAGTGATACTAATTGTATGTGTTTATTTGTATCTTGTTAGATGTTAGCCATGTAAATAGACAGTTCCTGCCTGTCACTATAGCTATTGATTCAGAGATCAAAAGGGAATATTAACATTTAGATGAATCTTGGGTGAAATAATGTCATTGTCTATATGTCTCTTTAAAGTTTGTGATAAACTGCCCAATGGATAAATTGCCTTACGTTAATCTGTGTAGCTAATTACTGGTGATGTTTAGGAAATAGGTCTACCTCAAAGTCTCCATGATTGCCTATTGTTCGCCTAAGGACTCCGAGCTGTTGAGAGAAGACCTGAAACTGTAAAAAAAACCCTTAGGTCCGGATTCTGTTATCTTGGATCTGCTCGATGCTTCTGGAACATTCATTAACCTGGAAGGTAATGTGTCCGATTCTTTGGGATTGATAGAACTTTCTTATATGGTTAATAAGATTTTCAGGATTCCTCATCATATTTGACTTGGGTGTCTGGTGGAGGCCTGAGGCTGGGTTGCTTTAAGGGAATTGTGTTGTTGGCTTCTGGGTGACCAGTGAGGTATTATAGAAGCTGTTTTGTGCAGGTCTGGTAAATCTAAGTATTGGAATATTCACCAGCTCTGGGGATTGTCTGCCCCATTCTTTGCAGTTTACCTTAATTGAGTAACTTCAGCGTGGCTCCGTGGGACCCTGGTCACAGCAACTAACATCTGTTTTGTGTTGTTTGTTCCCTCTTCCTCCCCCACACCCAGCAGAAGAAGCACATGCCTTGTTTTGGTAGGGTTTTGTTGTTGGTTTTTCAATAGATATATCTGTCGCTATGTGCTTTGATAAGACAAGGTGAAAGAAATGCACCTTGCACTGGAAGTCAAAAGCAGTGAAGTTTGTGATGGTCATTTTTTGGGTGAGTTCATGCCATAGGCTTGGACCAGCCCCAGAGAAGGTTCTCTCTCCCGCATAGACGAACTTTATTCTTATTGTGTTTGAGTTGAATGCTGCATTCAGCTTCCCCCATCATCTCCTATTTGTACACTATGAGAGATTATCTAGCGAATCCAAGATTTGTTTTCCTTCTTCTGTTAATATAAACCTAGTGACTTAATAGCATTTGTATTTCATGTCACATATAAAAAGGACAATCTATATATTTCAATTAAAAGTGCCTCTTACTGATGGAACTTAACTGATTTGTATGTTTATTATTATTATTATTGACAATTTCCATTCTCAGGTGCTGGAATGATAGTGGAAAATCAGTTAGACGCAATGGTGAACAGTAACTATAATTAAAATGTTGAATGCTCTTTTTGTGATATTACCAACAGATATACAAGATGTTCAAACTCTAGCAACAATGTTAATTTAAGTCATAAATAAAATGTATATGCACTAAAATTAAAACAAGTGTCTTTCTAAATAATAGATGAAAAGTATGGACATACATTGCACAGGCAATTAGACACAACACTTTGCTTCTATTTTTCCCAAAATCTTCAGAGGAAATGTTTGATCACAAATATAGTGTAGCTCAGTTACCTGGAAATAAGTTATAGAAGTTAACCTAGCACGAAGGATGTCAGTAGGCATGGCTGGGGATAGTCACAGAAGAACCCAATCTTACTTAGCATTTTTGTTTTTGGCTGAGCATGGGTACTTCTATCTATTCATATCTCCTTTTATTTCTTCTGCAAGTGGTGTGCAATATTATTCTATATCTTACTTTAAATATTTCGATTGTCTCAAACTCTGTTAAAAGATGAGTGTTTGGGTTGAACACTGCATTCATCTTCCCCCATGTTCTGCTATCTGTGCACTATGAAGAGCATCTAGTGAAGGTTGCTTTTCTTCTGCTGTTGATATACACCCACCCATTAGAGATGTGTACCACCTGCCATTTTTGAGTATTGGTAAAAAGGCCTCCATTTTATCTGAAATTAGGGTAAAATTTTCTTCTGTGAGCTACACTGCCGCTCACTTACACACAGGGCAGATCATAGCTACATATTCTGGGTGCAACCCATATATGGGAACTCCCATTGTCAACCGAAGAGACTAAGTGTACAATATGTATTACAGATACACACTATGGATACGAGACCCACACTGTACTTCTGAGAGAAACTATACTATTTAGCAACAGAGGGTCCTGTGGCACCTTTGAGACTAACAGAAGTATTGGGAGCATAAGTTTTCGTGGGTAAGAACCTCACTTCTTCAGATGCAAGAAGAAGAAGCATCTGAAGAAGTGAGGTTCTTACCCACGAAAGCTTATGCCCCAATACTTCTGTTAGTCTCAAAGGTGCCACAGGACCCTCTGTTGCTTTTTACAGATTCAGACTAACACGGCTACCCCTCTGATACCTTATACTATTTGGATAACTATTGTTTTCAATGCTTCCTCCATGCCCCATCTGTAGTTTCGATCTAGTGTGATTAGGCCTGAATAGTTTCAATCTGAAAATTAAGCAGCTAGATCAAAGAATGAATTATTTTCCCTTTTCCCCAGAACTCAGACTTCTGTCATGACAATGGAATTGGTGAACATGACTTACCTGTGGAAAAGAGTGTTAAGAATAGCTAAGGCACTGAACTTAATGAAATGTGATCTAGAATTCAGGGAGGCCATATTGCCACTAAGCTAAGGAGGAACATGACACACACTGCACTTTAGTTTTGAAACTGCACTGAAGGTTTTTATGTATTTAAGCAAAGATTGTTTGGGTTAAAAAGACAATTTAGAAGCAACTTTGGGAAGGAAAAGGATAATCTGGGATGTTTTCTGTGAACGGAAAGAATATCCATAAAGGGATCCTTTCCTTTGCTCTCCAAGTGAGAATTTCAATGGCTGAAAAGCATCCTCAGTCTCCAACTATGGAGTCACTCCAAACTAACATCATATTCTAAATTGACCTTTCCTGCCCGCCAGACTCAGAATTGGACCTTGCTCTTGATCTACTTTTCTAGACCTCCAGAGAAACTAGCAATATGCTGGTTGTTTAGACAGGAGCCATCTCTCCGCTCAAGGTTGATACCTCCTATCAGCCATCTGTCATAGGACCATAAAAGACAACAACACAACAGCTTCTTCCTTCTCTTAGTTTTTGTCTGTCCTTGATTTATTTAATGAATTTCACTAAAACTAAGAACTATGTGAGTAAACGGAGGATGTTTCATTGCAGTTCAGCTTTCCATCATTTAAGGGTTAAGAAAAACTGGTTTTATTATTTGGATTTGGACTGGGCCAGATCATTATCTGGTGTAAATCAGCATTGATCAATGGGAGCTAATAGAACAAAGCAGAACATTAGAGGATGGGTAGTTATTACAGAGTTAAACCTCAGCCCATGAGAAAGAACCCTGAAGTTTAGCACTGGCGGTAGTTTAGTACTAGCAATAGGATGCACCAAGTAATAGCCAATTAATCTACAAACCAAAAGAATACTCGGAGAAATGTCTCATTGAGAAGCAAATACATTTAGGAAAGTTTGTCTCCCTCTTCACAGACTCCTGATGCTGCATCTGCTTTCCCCTAGTGAAATATTTCTAGATGTGCTACAGCTTGTGCTCATTGTGGCCAGTATTACAGAAATTCATTTGAGGCAAAGGCAAGAAATGATCTTTTCTTGCCTGGTGTACATGGATCTTCACTCCACTGGTATCAGAATGTAACCTACAATTCAACAGCTGAACATAAAGTGAAAAAGTTCACATTGAATTAGTTTGGCTTTCATGTAGACATCATGCACCTTCTATTATTAGCATTTAAGGGCATTTTTAAGTGTTACTTTAGTGTACATGTATATAATGTCAATCTATATTAGAATTGCAAATAGTTGAAGTAATTTTAGACCCAGCAATTGGGAAACAAATGTCTTCTATCCCAAAATTAATTCATAGTGTATTTTCAACCTCCTGAATTTTCATAAATTCAAAAGCTTTACATATTTTAGCTATTTTAATCCTATTAGTTATTATAAATCTAAGCATACATGAATTTGCAGAACTGGAGGAAGAATTAGGCAGCAGTATGATACCCTGGGTTCTTTTCTTTTATTATTGGCAAAATTAAAGGAATCTTTGAGGCTCACAAATTATTTTTGTGCAAAAGATTAGAAATGTACCGGACATTTACATCATCTGCAGCATAAGGAGTGAACTATATAGTCATAGATAATGTACTTTGTAAAGAGACTGTAAAAGAATGAAAAGAGATTTGTGCATGAAACTTTCCAAATCCATTTTACAGCTGCTATTTTGTACATCCCACATTCTATCCAAATAAAACACAAACTCGTGTTCAAGGAGCCTGAAAGCGCATCTCCTACACGCTACAATATATTGTTTCATTGACATAGCCAATCCCTAGTAAAATCTGTAACTCAGTGGAGATACCTGCCAATTGAACAGACACAAATGATGCACATAAGATTCATACAGAAGTGCACTAGCAATAAGCTTTTGCATATAAAACCATCCCTTAAGAAGAGATTGTGCTTGAAACTATTTTATAGCTATAGTATTTTTGTTCATTATGTTTAAGAGGCACTGCATAAATATGAAGTTAGTCACCTAATGCACTTAATATTTCTCAATTGAGGACTATTGCAGCTTTACTCTATGTCTAGGTGCTGATTATACTTTGGTTTGCTTTACAGTAGTAACATTGCACTGGCAACACAGCTGATACTAAGAGGAAAGCTGGAGATACTGCCAACTGGAGGACCAAAACAAGTAGTTCACTCTTTTACTTCTTTTCATGCTTCTTGGTTAATTCCCCTCTTTCTAACTGCAGACTCACACTGCTGTTTACTCTCTTCTCCTTTTGTTGGCTCTCCCGAGAAACTTGCTGAACGGCCTGCAGGATGGCAGTTTGCACAATCTGTTTGCTGGCATTCTGCAGCGCAACTTCTTCTTGTTCATTTCCAGATTTCTCACCTACCAAAAAAAAGTTTGTAAAAAAGGAATTTAAGTATTTTTGCTACTTAAAATACATTAAATGTAATACAGAAAAATTCTGTTAGTAAATTGTAAAGGTAAAGATTAAATAAGACACATGCTATAACAGGAAGTGATCTAGAAAGGTGGATCTGTCTACAACATTATCAGAGTCAACACAGCCTTCAGCAAGAATGAAGAGAGATGGCTTGTTCCTGCATAGATCCACCACCTGAATGGAGGAGGGGGTGTGCGTCAGATAGAAGCGCTACTCAGATATGGAATGGCTACATGTTTACTTGGTAGGCTGAGAGGAGAGAAGCCTTCCACCAACCCTCCTGGGCAACAATTTACTTGGGCTATGCTCTTGGATGAGGATATAGTCTTAGCATATCTGACACTTTCTCCTTTACTGCTATATAAAGAAAGACTATGCTTCTAACAGTTTCTTTACCTTTAATTAAAAAAAAAGCACCAAACCCAAGTCCTGCTAACATCTGTGTCAAAATTTCCATTGGCTTCAGAATCTGAATTATTTTAAGGTGTAAATTGATTAATCTGTAACAAACTACACCTGCAAATATATTTGCATAAAAAAGTTACTTACCTGTTCTGTAAGTGCTGCTTATGAGGGTGCAGATGTGTATTCCACTCAGGTGTGTTTGTGCCCAGTGCACCAAGAGTTGGAGACTTTTTTTTCCCTGCAGCAGTACCTGTCACTGTCGGGACAGTGTATACACCCTGGGTCTCCTCGTGGCCCCTTCTGAGTCTATGTAAGGGTGCTGCTACCCTAATCCCCCCCCCCCAGTGAACAGGGGATGGAGGGTGGGTCATGGAATACACATCTGCACCCACATCTAAAAAGAACAACAGTTACAGAACGGGCAAGTAATTATTTTTTCTTCGAATGTTTGCAGATGTTCATTCCACTCAGGTGACTCCCCCCCCCCAGTACACACCTGGAGTCTAGTTAAACAATGACTATAATATTAATTTGCCAAAATGTTCATCTGGTCCTGATGCAGTTATGACAGCATAGTGATGCATGAATGTGTATAGTGAGGACCACATGGTAATCCTACAAATGTCCAATATAGGAACATTTCTCAGGAAATCAACTGATGAAGGTGGAGCCCCTGTAGAATGGGCTGAGAGTTTGGAGAAGGAGTGTCAGCTATCCAATATGCTGTCGTGATCCAGGAGGTGATCTATCTTGAAATCATCTGCATTGAGACTACTTGTCCTTTCATACAATCTGGAGAGGACACAAAAAGACAAGGTGATTGTCTGAAAGTTTTGGTCCTGTCCAATTAGAAGGCAAACACTCACCTAACATCTAAGATATTTGGAAATTCCTCATCATTATTAGAATGTGGCTTAGGAAAGAAAACCAGAAGTTCTAATGTCTGATTTAAATAAAAAATGGACATGACTTTGGTTAAAAACTTTGGATGTGGCCTCAAGACTATCTTGTCCTTGAAAAATATTGTGTAAGCATGGCTCATTGTCAAAGCTTGCAGTTCAGATACTCATTTGGCTGATGTAATGGCTATGAGGAATATGGTCTTCTGTTTGGGCCAAAAGTAAGCAAATACTCAAAAGCAGGCTCCTAAGAGCTGCCAACACAAAGTTAAGGTCCCAGGTCAGCATCACATTCCTAATAGGTGGAAAAAGGCACATCACTCCCTTGTGAAATCTAGTCCTGGCAATCTGGAGAATACCAAGCCCCTGGGACAGGGGTATAGATAGCTAAGATTGCTGCAAGGTGAACTCTCAGGGAACTCATGGAAAGGGCTGAAGATTTCAAATTAAGATGGTACTCTAAGATGTTCTGGATCCTTGCCTCTGAAGGTTGTAGCTCATAACTAGGGGGCCATATGGAAGACCTTTTCTACTTAGCCATGTAAGTTGTCCTTGTTGACTGCTTTCTACTGTTAAGCAGGACCTCTTGAACTGCCAAAGAACATGACTTCTCCTCTTTGTCTAGTCACTCACAAGCCATGCAGTGAGGTGAAGGCTCTTGAGGTCTGGATGCAGTTTGTGATCATACTGCTGTGGCACTAGGTCCTGGAGGAGAGGCCGAGGGTGAGGAAATTAAATGGAGAGACCGAAGTCTGAGAATCAGCATGGCCTGAGCCATGCCAAGTCTATGAGGATTAACCTGACTTGTTTCTTTGTGAATGACTGGAGGATCAGGGAAAAGCATACATTAGATCCAGTTTCCATACCAACAAGAAGGCGTCGGTGAGAAAGTCTGGACTGTGGCCCACTTGAGAACAAAATGGATGATTCTTCCTATTGTCTTTTGCAGTGAACAGATTGACTAAGGGAACACCCCATGTTCAGAAGATGGACTTCAGCATGCTGTTCTTGAGAGACTACTTGTAGTTGTGGGAGAATCGTCTGTGGAGGAAATCAGCCAACTGATTCTGAATGTCAGGTAAATATGCCACTACAGGAGTGATGTCCTCTGTGTTGCAAAACTCCCAAAAGCTCATGTCTTCTTGACAAAGCTGAGTGGAGCAAGCCCTACCCCCTCTTGTTCAGATAGTACAATGCAAAAGTATTGTTGGTCCAAGTTTGGCCCAACAAGCCCCCTGATATGAGAAAGGCAGACTCAAGATGCTCTGCGAATAACTCAGAGCCCAAGGACAATCTGATATGCAGATTGGACTCTTCCTCCAACCAAAGCACTTGAGTTTGTGAGCACCCCAGCCTATTAGAGAGGTATTGATTACAGTTGTCACATCTGAGGTTGGATGAGAAAAGGGAATGCCTACACATGCATTGTCTGGGGTCATTCACCACTCCAGGGAACATATTAACGCAGGCGGGAACTTTTTAAGCCAGAAGAACACATTATTTAAGCCAGAAGGCGGCACAGGAAGTAGTCTGAGCAACTAGGTAAATCCATGGCTGACTGCTATGTTGGATTCTCTCACTTCACTCCTGAGCCCTACCTTATTCCTGATTTCTGCCTTCCTGTCCTATTCCCCTGGTTCCTGCCTTGTTCCAGATCCCTACTTCTCTGCCCTGCCTATTGACTTTGGCTCTGACCCTTGGCTTGATTCCTGACTCCAGCTCTGACCCTTGGTTTGACCTCTGGCTCTGACCCACACCTCTGATTCCTGGCTCCTGACTCTTGCAGCAATCATTAGGCCTGACCACCACTGGTCTGACCACCTACATCCCAGCCTATGACACCGACCAGTTCAGGTTGTGTCTGGGTGATAGACAGACTTCAACCATGAGGCTATGTGGCCAAGCAATCTCAGGCAAGTCCGAGCTGTGGTCGACAGATGAGATCTGAGGGACTTGCACAAGTCATGAATCATTTAAAACCTGTGAGGAAGAAAAGTAGTCAAATTCATAGAATTCAGTAGGGTCCCAATGAACTTGAGCCTCTGAGTTGGAATAAATATAGAGTTTTCCTTGTTCAGAAGGAGTCCTAGATGACTGAAAAAGCAGATGATTAACCTGATGTGGCCCCAAACCTGATCCTGTGAAGAACCTTGTACCAGCCAATCATCCAGGTAAGGGAAGATGTGCATACCATTCTTCCTTAAGAAGGCCGCCACTACCACCGAACATGTGGTGAATACACGAGAAACCGAAGACAGGCAAAATGGAATTACCATGTCCTGGCAATGGCGGTTCCCCCCACCCCTCACCAGAAAGCTGAGGAATCTCCAGTGATTGGGTAAGACCACCACAGAGAAAATATGTATTTCAAAGATCAAAAGCAGCAAACCAACTGTTGCTATCTAGCGAGGGGAGTATAAAAGCAAGGGTAAACATGTGGTATCTCAGTTGCTTGAGGAACTTGTTGAGAATCTTAAGGTCCAAAATAGGTCTCAGTCCTCTTTTGGACTTGGCAATAAGGAAATAATGGGAATAGAAGCCCTGTCCTTGAAACTGCAGGGAAACTTTCTCTATAGCCCTTACAGTGAGTGGAGACTGAACTTCTTGAAGGAGCACAGACTTGTGAAATTGGTCCCTGAAAGGGGATTGGGGAAGGGGGATGAATAAGAACTGGATCAAATATCCCAGTCCCTTAGTACTTAGGATCCACTTGTCCAAGATTATGGTCTCCGAAGTGAGGAAAATCTGTTCCAAATGGGTGGTTGGGGGCAGGGAGAAGGGATGGGTAGATCACTGGTGGTTGCATTGCTGGTCTTGAAGAATTCATGAAAAAAGTTGTTTCCCTACAGCAGGTTGAGGGCAATACGATTGGTTAGACTGGAACTGGATGTTCTCCTCTTCTGAGGCGTCTGTCTCTTCCTAGGAGAGCCATAATGCCTTGGGGGATAAAAGGGTTGCCTCTGATATCATTGAGAATATTATTGAGGAGGCTTATATTGGCGTTTCTTGGTGGCCAGGTGTAGGACACACACTGCCTCCCACCCCCAGAATGTGTGAGTCTTAAGAGTGCAACACCTCATTTGTGTTGTCTGAAAACAAATATTGACAGTCAAAATGTAAGCCCGCAATAGACTGCTGAATGTCCAGCACTATCCAGGATTTACATAACCTTTCTCATTATAATTGCAGAGGCCACAGCCCTGGAGGAAGCATCTGAAATGTCTAGGGCAGACTAGAGTGAAGTCTTTGCCATCATTAAGAGGGCCCTGAACTCTTCCTTTGTATTGTCCAGCAATTTGTCCAGGAACTTTGACATCACCTGCTAATTAGAAAATCACGTTTCACCAGGAGGGCTTGCTGGTTTACTATTCTCATCTGGAGGGAGGCAGTAGTATAAATCTCTCCTCCTAATGCATCTAGTCTCTTACACTCTTTATTTGGGCAGGGGGAGAGGGGGGCAATTGCAATTTCCCCTGCAGCGATCTCTTATTAACAACTATGACAACTAGGGAGTTCAATGCTGGGTGGGAGTAAAAACACAAGAACCCCTGAGAAGGGACATCACTGTCAGAGTTAGAGATGCTGCTGTGAGTCACAAGGTTTTTTCCAGATGCAGAAGGGCATCATTAATCAGGAGA